GCCAGTGAAATGCTGGTCTGCTTTGACATCACATTCAGAAATCCTGTTTGATAAAATATTAGCTCCAACAATGTCACGTGGGGAGGTGCTACATACATGTTGCCTTAACGCACTGCTCTGGAGGCAGTGCAGTTTAGGGCACAGGGAGGAATCTGGACATGCACTCATTCTATCCTGCTCAGCATACAGAGGCCTTGGGTCCATCCCCTGGCTTCTCTGAGACACCCTACTCACGTGCAAAATAGAGCTAAAATCATCTACTGAACAAGACAAATTATCAGTTTTTTTCTGAATCTAAAATGCCACAATTATGAAGGAATGTCCAATGGAAATTCCAAATAATATTTAGTAGACCTTCCCCCATATTACCTTATACTTATGTTACACATAATTAGGACAATCATAAAATAACCATTGAGAGTCCATCATCGACAATTATAGGTTATGTAAAAGAAAAATTGTGGTTATTCCTAGCAAACTTAGACTTAAGGCAAATATTTTATATATATACACACATGTATACACTATATATATTAAAAATTACATTATCTGTAGATGTAAATGTAGATAAGTGTAAAGAGTTAACAGGTGTCCAATGACATATACATATCTGAATGATCACAAATGGAAAAATATCTAAGTGCAAGCTGGCCATGACAGCCCATATTTTACTAATGGCTAATTCTTCCAGTCTAGAAAACATATTCTGTCTGCATTTATGCCACATTTATCATTTATCATTATCATTATCAGTTAAAAAGAAATGGTATCAATGTACTTAGAAAGATATTAGAGATATTAAACTGCTTCTGAATTTGAAAATTAACAGAATATTTAATACTAAGAAACTACTAATATTTTGGGTAATGATAACGGTATTTTGGTTTCAGTTTTCAAAAACATCTTATCTCTAAAACTTACATACTGAGTTAATTATGGATGAAATGATGTGACATGCTTCAAAATAATCCAGGGTGAGGAAGGGGAAAGAAACAGAGGAGGGTCCTCAAACTGCGGCCCGCCAGGTGTTTTTGCTGCAGCTGTCTGTCCTGCTTAGCAGCCAACTCCTCCAGGGCCCACAGTGCGCGTGTGTGGACTGTGCGCCGCACTCTCCAACGGCCCTCCAACGGTCTGAGGGACAGTGAACTGGCCCCCTGTTTAAAAAGTTGGAGGACCCTTGTAGATGAAGTAAGAATGGGCATGAGGTGGTAACTGCTGAAGCTAGGTTGACTACATGTGATGCTGTTATGTTAGCCTTCCTGCCTTTAAATATGTGTGGGATTCTCCAAAATGAAATAAAAGCTGCTTTTGACCAAATCTCAAAAGACCACACCAATCTTCCAATGAAAAGGCTCCTATATGTTAGGATTACCTACATTTAGATAAGTAGTATTTACTAATAATGAAAAAGGAACCAGGTAGGTATATTCTGAATGACAAAGGAAACATTAAAAAATGACCCACAAATATTTGACTAATGAATTTAGGAAATTTATGTTGTATTGTCATAAAAATTATAAAGTTCAAAGAGTTGTACTATACTAAGAATTTTACTTTCTAATCAAAAGACCAATTTATGAAAGTAACTTCAGGTAAAGCTTATCACTAGTGAGTGAATGGATCCATTTCATGTACATTCTTTTAACTATTTCACAAATGATAAGAAAGTTTTGCAACAAGCTTGCTCAGAGTGAATAAATTACACATAAACTTTTTTTTCACCCAGAAATGATTTTAAAGCAGTTTTGGATGAATACATACAGCAATACAGAATATTAAGATGTTAGGGAAGGAAGAATAAGGTTATAATTCCCTTTATCTTCAAGAAAGCTTCAGACCCTTGGTGATGAAACACTGGTTATCAGATATTTCAGGTAAAGACATAACAGTAAGACATGAAATTTTCTGGAATTTTTCTGATTTCAAAAAGTCTTTATGTTATCTTCATAAATTACACACACATCCCAAAAATTCAAGTATTTTCATATCAAATTATGTATTAAAATTGTTTGTTATAAGCGCAAGAAGGAAAATCCTTTGTCAGACCATATATCTTGTTTGTGTCTGGTGAATATGGTTAGCATATTCATCATCACCTATGGTGAAGAGCAGTGACATTTACTGAGTACCTGCCAGGTGTCTAGAATCTTCTCCACACCCATCTAGAAAATGGAAAATCAACTGAATTGAATCAGGTTCAACTAAGATATCACTTCCTCTAGGGAACTTCCTTGGACTTTCCCCCAAGGTCGGGGGGACCCAGACTGGGTCCTCTTGTCATATGTTTTCATAAAATTTTATACTCCCCACTTCATGACACTTCTCACAATTATAATTCAACACATACCTGGGTGATGTGTAAACTAATACATTTCTCTCACTAGACCCACAAGCTCTAACAGGACTCCCGATACCATCGCACTTCCAGCTCCTGGCACAGCACCTAGCACGCTGATGACCAACCCTGGCCGCACCCAAATTACCTGGGAGCTTGAAAGATACTGACGCCCGGACCCCACCTCCAGAGATCCTAGCATAGCACAGAGAAGGTGGAGGCCAGGACTTCATAGTTGTTATTTAATAAATAGATCCAGCGGATTCTAATTAAGCAGTCAAGGTTGAGAGCCCTGTCAAACATAGGAGACTAAAAAATTCGTTGTTGAATCAACACAGAAATAAATATGTAAGGCACTCTAAATATTCCCAAAGACTACAAATTATGTATATCATTTGCTGTCATTTTCCCTTGCTAAAAACATAAAATAATTAATGATATTAATAGGAATTTTGACATGGCCTCAATAAAGAGATATTTGGGTTTTCTTAAATATCAAGCATAGAAAGGAACAGAATCAGAACTAGGAAGAACTCAAACCCAAGCCAATGAACTCATGACAAACTAAGCTATAAATAAATAATGGTGGCCTCTCTGTTGTTCTTCCTTCTGTGCCAGGACAGTTGTCATGTTACATCCCCTAACCCTCGTGGGGACCTGATAAGGACAACTTTTCCCTATTTATGCCATCCAGTTAGGGTTTCAAGCCACTGAAGACATTCCAGGATCGCGCCGATAGCCGTGGCGTGCACTGTGAAGGACATGTCTCTCCTATCTTCCGCTTCACTTTAGTGACCTCACTGACCACTCCCTTCTCTGGTTCGGTGATACTATGCTTCCTGTTTCCCTCCTGTCTCATGTCCACCCCTTCTTCATCTCCTCTGCAGGCTTCTCATCTTCTACCAGTCACTTAAACACTTAAACATTGCTCCTCAGGATTCTGTCCTAGGTATTCTTTGTTCACCTTCTTGGGTCAATACATGAACTCTTGGGGACTATCTGTCTATAGATGGTCTATAGACACCTAAATTTCTCACTCTTTAAATCCAGCTACCTACTGGATATCTCTACTCGCATGTTGGACAACTCCAAATCAACTTGTCCAAACAAAAGGGGGGAAGATTATTTTTCTCCCCAGTGTTCCCCAACTGGAGGACACAAACATCCTAACTAGCTGCCACAGTCAGATCTCTGGGAATCACCCTTCATCCCTTCCTCCTCCTCATTTTTCCATCACCTAGTCCCATTAGATCTTCTTTCTGAACAGCCCCAGGACCCAAGTACCTCTCTACAGCCCCACCACCTCCACACCAGGGCAGACACCTGCTCAACATGCCAGCCTCCAAGGCTCTACTGCTCCGGGCTTATTCCCTCTCGCCTATCAGCGACATGGAAGTCTTTTAGAAAAACAAGTTTACTCCGTCTTTCCCCAGCTTAGATCCTCCCATGGCTCCCCCACTGCCTTCTGGGTAAAGTCTGAACCTCTCAGAGCGGCCAACAAAGCCGGTCAGGCCCTGGTGCCTCCTAAGTCCAGCCTCAACACTTACTGCTCTGGCCCCACTCCAGGTTCCAGCCACACAGGATCAGCGGCCTCCTCTTGCTGGAGATCCTGTGCACATTCTCCCTGCTCTTCCCAGAATGGTCTGTGAGCCTTTCTTCCTCTCTTTCAATCAGTCAATACCGATATCCTTCCAATCTCAAAACAGATGTCACTTCCTTCAGATCTCAGAATGTCACTTCCCTGACCTTAAAACCCTGGATCAGCTGTTGTTCCTAAGTGCCACCACAGCACTCAGAACCTCCCCCTTATCAGGAAATGGCACATTATATCCCACCAGTTACCTGTCTGCTCCACTGTTCTGTGAGCTTGTTGAGCCAGGCCCCAACTGTCTGGAGGGTAGCAGGCATTTCACACATTCAATATTCGTTTAATGATAGAATTACACAAATTAAAGTTAATAAACCTACATGCAAATACAGCTCTGACTTCTCACTTCCAGCTTACCTCAGGGCCTTTACACATGTGGTTCCGTTTCTCAGGCCAGAGTCTGCTTATCCTTCCAGTCCTTTGCTAACATGGAGCCTTCTCTGAGACACTTTTCCAACACTGCTGTATAAAGCATTCTCCTCAGTTATTTTCCTTCAGAACGCCCTGTTGTTTTTCTTTTCATCACTTGCCTCAACATTTAATTTGGTTAGTTGCATACTGATGCCTTTCCCTCCTTCTACCTCTGTGAGGCAGGAACTGCATCTGTTTCAGTCACCACCGTCCCTCTAGAACTTGGCACAGTACCTGGTACACAGCAGGGGCTCAACACACACTTGATGAAACAATGAGTGGACTGTTATTTATCAAGGACTGGTATCATTTCTACAACCTCATGCTGACTCCCATGGAATGTTAACTGCTCCCCCTCAAGCAAACCTTTGTCAACACTGCCAGCCAAGCATAAAAATAAGAGACAGTGAAAGAGTTTTCACCCATCCTTGTTCTGTTACTCACTCTTAGGTACAATGCTAGCCAGTGGCCAAAAACAGAAAACAAACAAAAAACAAGAACTGGGACTAAGAAAATTAGGTAATCATGCCCTTAATCATTAAGCATTCACCAAGTGTATTAATGTCATCAAGGAATAGCATAATAAATGGGAAGAGAAGCCCTTGCCTTTCAGGTCTTTCACAAAGCCCTCCTTACAGGTGTGCATGAGCTGCAGGATCCATTCGTGCTGGGCTCCAATGCATTGCCAGGCAGGGTCACCCGGGGCGTGGAGGTCAGACAGATACCTGAAAAGCAAGTCCAAGGTTGATGAAGCAGGCTTCCTCTGTTACACATGAGGCCAAAGGAAAAGCTAGCACATTTTAAAATCATTACTCTTTTAAAAAAAATAAAAGCTAAAATTTTATCAATTAGTAAAACATTTTTCAATACTAGCCTTTAATATTTAGTTCTCAATGGAATATATATATATAATGATAGAACTTTTTAAAATTAGCTCTTTGGAAAAAGACAATTAAAAAGACCAAGACAACTTATAGTGATCCTATCTACCTGGAGAGCATTTTTCTTTATAATACTTAGATTTAGTTCACAGAATGTTTCTACTTATTTCAGAGTCACTGCATTAAACACAGGTGGGAGCCAGCAGCGGACAATGGGCGAGTATTAGGAAAATTTCAGCTGTTTTTTATTCCTTTCTGGTATGAAGCATGGCCAGGAGATGGCAGTGTGACACTGCTTTCTACAGTGAGCTAAGCAATGGCCACATGAACCTTCAGCTGCTTTCTCCACATGAAGTTTGGTGACGTATACACTCACCTGCAAGGTCTATACTCATTCATGACTGACTGACCCAGAAAATATTTCTCTAGAAAATGTAGTACAGATGGGTATTTTTCTTAGTTTTTAAATATTTCTTAAAATAGAGTCTTTTTTGTGCATAAAATACTCAAATCCATATACACAAGCTAAATATATATCAGTTGAAAAATCTCTATCAAATATTATTCAACATTTGGCCTTCAGTCCTCACAAAATATATAAATACAACAAGTCAAATACAATTAAATCAACTCCAAAAGCATGTCCAAATGAATTTATTGTCTTAAAATGATTCCTAAACCATAAGCTGTCCTTTGTCTTAAATTCAAAGATTTTTATTCAACAGTAAATTGTCATCAATACAAGTTGTGACCTGGAGCCAAATTTTTTTTTTTTTTTTGAGACAGAGTCTCGCTTTGTTGCCCAGGCTAGAGTGAGTGCCATGGCATCAGCCTAGCTCATAGCAACCTCATACTCCTGGGCTCAAGCAATCCTGCCTGCCTCAGCCTCCCGAGTAGCTGGGACTACAGGCATGCGCCACCATGCCCAGATAATTTTTCTATATATATTACATGGCCAATTAATTTCTTTCTATTTATAGTAGAGACGGGGTGTCTTGCTCAGGCTGGTCTGGAGCCAAATCTTAATTACTCAGGGATATGCTTGACACTTCCCTCCCACATTTCCCTAGTAGTGCATATTTACTACTCAGACATCTAAATTAGCAGCTCATTGGAAGAGAAATAAATCCATATTGTACTAAGTTAGCAACAAATAAAATGCTGTGAAGAAATCCGACATCACACTCGGGAACTCTCTCGCTGCCCCTGGCCTTCGCCAGCCATCGGGCAGGGCTGGCTGCTGGGGGCAGGCCTTTGGCCCTCACACTGCACGGGCTGCAGGAGGTGCCCAAGAGCTACCAGCACCTCCTTGCCATGACTGTCTATTTACAGGCCGCAAATAGGCAGTGTCTCTGTGTCAAGAAAGTGACAAGTCGATTAAAACAAAGAACGTTACTTGTATTAGGGAGTCACCTAGGGCTCCTCCTCACATATGAGGAAAGTATCCTGAGAGGAAAACTACAATCGGACATTAAATTACATTGAGCTTGGCATAGGGAATTCATTTCAAAGCTTCCAAATCCAATCTATTTCTATTTCTTTTTCTCACACAAGGATTTCTCTTTTGTTATCTGAAATACAAATATAACAAATAGTACATTGTGCCTTTTCTTCCCTAAGAACATATGATTTTATTCCTCCTTGCTGGGGATGAGGTGTTTCAGCATCCTTCCCAGAGAGACTTGTTTTGCCTCCTAATACTCCACTCACTAACACTTACACTCACATAACCCTCAGGTATGGTGTCAGTGGTAAAATATAGGAATATTCTTTTAGTGAAGCTACTTCCTTTTAATTATTAAACTGCTGAATAGGAATGTAGATGATTCAGTACAGGGCTCTTTCTCCAGCAGTATAGCAAGAGAAATCAATAAGCTTGTTTGCTCAGTAGCTTTTTAAACCATCAGTCTCCGTACTGCATTCATCATGTCCTGGCAAAATGTAATAAGACCTTTTTCTACCATCTTGTTAATAGGTATTGAAATAAAAGAGTTTTTTAAAGAAAAATAAAGCTGTTCTCTTAGGAATTCTAGAGTGTTGCAGTTCAAAAGTACAACTTATGCTAGGCTCTTCCAAAAAGTTTCTTCCTTTTAGTATGCAGCTTAAAAATAAGTAGTTTTATTTCAAAGATTACTGTTTAGAATATGATACATGTTATCGCTATTTCTTTTAAATATTAAACTACTTCTAAAAAAGGATTTTAAGAGGAAAGACAAAGTAAAGAATGTTAATTATAAACATAGGCTCAATATTTTAAAATTCAAACTTTAAATTTGAATTTAAAATTCAAAATTTAAAGAAGTTTTTAGCCATATTCTGACACGATTTTTAACAATTACCAGGGACAGGCTCATGCTGACATGGAAAGGAGCATACAGAGCTTTGCTTCTTCTAAAGTTACTAATATGTTGCCTGCCAACATCAAGACAGAAAATAGCCAGGAAGAGTGAAAATAGCCAGGAAGTTTTTAATTAGAAAAAATAGTGAATAAAAGTAACATAATACAGGAATAATCTGATTGTCACTCCTATCACACATAACTCGGATTATGTAAGAAAACTAATACAGATATATTTTTGTTGATGATAAAACTCCCCACTTGGTGTTCACAGTACCTATCACCACAGATTTCAAAATCTAACAGATGTTTGACTGGTTCTGATCTTATTTTTCTATTTGCTATTGACTAAAAATTTAATTTAAAAAGGAATAGAACTGCTCAGTATCTTCTCAAAGCATCAGAAATAAAATAATCATTAAAAAACAAACTGTTGATATTCTTGCTCTTTTCCCTTTAAAAGGATGAGAAAAAAGGCAGTCAAATAGGCCCTTTAAAGCTCTTTTTTAACACTATCATCTTGTAAATGATATCTAGTAAGTTAACTAGCCATAAAAACTACACATCAGTTATCCACACAGATGGTAATTCACTACTTTAAAATTTAATATAGCAAATGTAAACAGGTAAGTTAACACATAAAGCACAAGCAGCGAAACAGCAGGGTGGAACAGAGAGAGCAAGAACCAGGACAACTGACACCAGCAGCTGCAGGTCCTAGACAAGAGGCTCGACCTCCCAGGAACTCTTTCTTTATATGCAGAAAATAAAGCATTTGGATTATTAATGTGTAGTTTAGTTTGAGCTTTAAATTTCTAGGACTCTACAAGCTAGGAAAGTCTCCCATATATATCCTTTCTTTATGCAGGCAGGTTAGACAGAAGCAAGGATAGGCTCTGGGACCAGAAAAACAGGTGTCTTCCTCCTTGCCGGTGTGCCGGGCAAGCTTTGCTGCCTTCCCTTGTAAAATGGGCACCATCCTGGTGTCCTTTCGTGCAGCTCTCAGGATTAGAGAAGACATATGTACACTGCACATGCACGACAGTAGCAGTAGGAGTTCAGCGCTCTACTCCACTGCCAGAGCCCCTGCTCAATTTCTCTTGGGCAACGCGAGTGTACTGCCAGTGACAAGGGCTCTGTTCCCACTGTGTGCCCAGTCACTAAAACACAGGTTAGGGAGTGGGCCCTCACCCCTGCCACAACTGCACACACAGCAGCTTTCAGGGCAGACCCTCCTTCCATCCTAGAGATTATTTTCAATAGTCACATGGTGACCACAGATGCATAAATATATGTATAGTCTATTATCATTTTATAACTACTCAATATTCAGTAAACTCCACTAATCAAAGAAGAGAAACCAGTAAATTTGGAAAATAACAGCTTATTCTGAGAACAAAGGCCACACTCAAAATATTCCAGCAGAAAATAAAGTTAATATTTTTTAACTGCAGATATAAAAAGCTTATAATTTATATGCTTTGTCCCAAATCCTGATATAAACTACACATATATAAAATTTGCTAACTATTCATTATGTGCCAGGTGCTGTTAATGTATTCCTCATTATCTTTGTAGCTACTTTGAGACACAGATCATGTCATCACATCCATTTCACAGATGAAGAAACTGAAAACCAGAACTCATATAAGCTGCCCAAAGTGAATAGCTAGTTCCACATGTGATAATACTGGCTCCTCCTCCTCTTCATATCCTGTGGTGTTCACCTCTTTTAATATTACTGCTATTTTTTTTAAGTATTCACACTCAGTAATATATTTCTCTTTCACTTATCACGAAAGGCTTGTAAATCAGCTAGTCAAGGCTAAAACCTTCCAGAACTTTCTCTACTGTTGAGCCATGGCACGTTCCTGTGGCAATGCAGGACTTCCCATCCGGTGCGGCATTCTGCTCTGAAGCAGGAGCCCCTACTTCATGGATGATGAGTACCACCAGGGTGCCGTGCCCACACCATCCCCTATGTTAGGTAGCCCACTGCTCAGGAGGAGGAGGGGGTGACTGAGCAATGAGGCTGCCTTTTCTTTCACCAAAACAGCAGGATTTTCTTGTCCTAAGAAAGTGAGTATTCTGTAACTACTCCCAAATTTATTTGTGTTCGAGAGAATCCTAGTGTTCTACACTAGACATCCCTAAATTTCTATTTGTCTTATCTTTTACCATTTCATCAATCTCCTAATTTCCCCAAAATTAGCTTTAAACGTTACGTGATATATCCAGTACCAAACAGATAAATATGACTCATCAAAATTCTTGCAGAATATTTACCTTATATAACGTTTTTGGTCATGCAAGGTCGAAGGTGTCTCAAGCAATTTATCCAGAAGTAATTCTCTTAAAGCTTCAATCCGTGTTTCTACTTCAGCATAATCTATTAAAAAAGAGAAGCATATACAAGGATTTGTAGAGAGGAAATTTAAAACCAATGTTCAGACAGCAGAACAGCAGTTGCTTTTGGTGGGGTGAGGGTTGACTGAGGAGGCACAAGGGACCTTTCTGGAGTGATCAAAACACTCTATCTTGGGTGTAGGTTACGTGGGTGTATGCATTTGTCAAAACTCACTGACCTGTAACATGTAAGGTCTGTGCATTTCATTGCATGTAAATTTTACCACAATAAAAAGTAAATTAAGTTTTCTGAGGCCTTATGGATTTCATTTTTGAATTTATTAAAGCCCTGTGATATTTCTCCTAGTTGATAAGGCTTTACCTATCACAGGGCATTTTAAGCTTTTCTTATTTTCTGTATCTCTGGTATTAGAAATAATTTCAAAAGCTGAGTTTGTTTTAAATGAGGTTAGTATGCTTAAATATGCTGGTCTTTCCGAAGAAGGAAGATTAAAACATAGGCTTCCATCTCTATAAATACTTGTCATTGATTCTGTCCAGTAAAAAAGATTTTTTATAGCCTTGTGGTTAACAAACGGCAAAGAATGTCCGAGACCAACCTATTACCATGCTTGCTCGTTTTCAATACATCTCAAATAAGAGAAGTCATAATGTTATTTTTGAAGTAATTGTTTTAAATTATAAAGACAGCACCTATAAACTAAAACTAAAACTCACTTAACATTCTTTGCAGAATACATTCCATAGTCTTCCTATAAAAGGAAAGTAGAAGATCTAAAATTAATAAACAAATCTTACATTTCTTGAAAACTTGCACCTCCGTTTTTCCAAAGAGTGACTTGGCCTTTTCATAATCATTAATAACCACATCATAATCACCCTTTAAAATAAAAAAATAACATTTTGGAGACACTTGGTGAATATAAAAAACATCTTAACAAATCTTTAAAATTTATGACATCTATAACCATATGTACATAAATAAACATATACTCTACCTTTTGAATATTCCTTTCAATATTTAGAGGAAGGTTGAAAAGAAACTTAAATCGCTGAAGCACATTGAGTGCATTTCTAGTGGAATCTGCCTTGTCCTTTCGACCTAATACTTCTTGAAATAACATGTCCGCAGTATTACTTGCTCCTATTTTAAAAGCAGAAAAGGAATCTTAGATGAAAGCTGATTTTAATCAGAAAATGTGGAACACGGCACTAGAAACAGAATGGTTGACCGCTATTGTAGCTTTATATTAAAACTCAATAGACTATGTTTTTAAAGTTAACTATACTGAAAATCTTTTACAGTTTGCTAAAATAAAATTTCCATTTTGCCTAAGTCTTTTCATATGTTAAGAATGCTATCCAATATAAAAACAACCGTACTTACCATACCCAAATAAATTCTCTAACATGAACCTACATTTATTTTAGTTACTCTTCTAAATTTTATAGCAATTATAGGCCCTTAGGTTATTTCATTACTTCAGACAATAGGGTAAACACATATACACATATGCATGCATGCATACATGTACATTAAATTCCATGGGTTCAATATCTACATATGGCATAATAAACAAAACAAAGAAAACTGTTTTTGGAAAAGTTGCTCAAAAGAAATATTTTAAAAGTAATTCTATTTCTTGGTGGAATTCTCTCTTTAGGTAGTAGACAGAAAATTACCCAAGCAATTTAAAATGACAAACTTGAACACAGCATCATTAATATTTCTTAAATCGCCAATTCTTATAAAATTATACATGAACTGGACAATTCATAAGGTATTTTTTTACCTAAAAGACCGCAAACTATATGAATTGGTATAATGAAAGAGATGCTTTATCTAATGCAAAATTTGCTGCGTACAAAAATAGTTTAAATTTTGTAACTTGTGAATTATTTTTAATTAGCCACAAGGAAAGGAGAGAAAAAGCATAAACTGTTTTCGGTTATCTGATCGCTACTTGTAAAAAGTCTCTACAGTATCTGGTCTAGTGACGATACTTTAAGCAAAGATGAAAAAATGACCTTGGTCTCCCTGGGTGGCTTGCATGCCACATTCTCTAGTCCACACTGTGGGTGGCCTGAGCATGTTAAAAGTCGTCTTTGTAACATGATTGTTTTGTCTAAATAATGTTTAAATTCTGTTCAAATTTTAAAGGCCTGATATAAAAACTTTGTTTTGTCAAGATAGCTGTTTTCATTACATGTTATTTAATGTAGACTACTAAATTTCTACTATAAGATGAGAAAAAATATATTTCCTTCTTGCCACCAAACCACATAAGGGAAGCTAAATGAATATCTGAAATCTGACTAGGGTTAAAATTTTTTTTTCCTTAAAGAAAATTATTTTTAAGTATTTGCCATTTTAAAAATATAAATTTCATAAACTGAGGCTTCATAAATGAATAAATATGAACACAAATAAGGGGACTGAATCTTTCAAAAAATGGTAATCACTTAGGGTTTGCATGTTAAATCACCAGGCACTTTTCTTTTTTTGGTATAATAAAAGAATTTGGGGCAAAAAGTATAAGAGTTCAAAGTTAGATTTTTCTTATCATATTTTTAAAGTAGTAAAAAATTACCAACTAATTTTTAGCTCTTCTAAAAAATATGAAAACAAGTACAGGGAGAAAACCCACTTACAACCAAATAAAACATAAATATCTTACAGAGAAAAATTTATAGACAAATTATAAATTATAAAATTATAATTTTACTTATGGCAAAGTATATATATTTATATATGGAGAACTTTAATTTATATAAATACTGAGAAATAAATTACTAAATTATAATTTTAATATATAGACAACTTCTAACTATAAATTCTTCTTCTTCTATTAATTTACTGTATTCACAATAAAATTTCAGTTCATAACTCTGATAACTAGATGATATATCCAGTAATAAAACACAAGAGGGCTAGGAAACCAAGATTAATGCAGACAGATAAAAATCACCAGCAGCTCACAAATGCATTTCTTCTCTAGAGCTACTAATAAGAAAACAAAGCTATCACTCCACACTCGTCATGCCTGTGAAGCTGGTGCTGCAGATGAGGCCATCGGGGAGGCATCCACAAAGTCATCTGGGAGAAAATCCCCTACACGCACTAATCCACACACATTCGCTCCCCTTCTGCGCAAAAGGAACATCTGATGTGAGGTAGCTGGCAGGGATTTGGGCATCCAGTGTGCAACCATCAAACAAATCTACCTGGACTAGATGGCCGTGGAAACCATGGCTTTGGCCCTACAGGCTGCAGAATAACCCTTAATCTACATTTACCAGCCCTGGGCAAGCCTAGACCTGAAACTTGGTCCCTTCTCATCTGAAGATGGTCTCAACATGTTAATTTGGACAGTGACTGTCACTGTATCAGTCACACATGAACCCCAAGAACTAACAGCAATGCTGTTATAACAAAGGGTGGCTGCCACCATTGTTAGGCCTGTGGAGCAATAAAATTTCCTGAAGTGCAAGATGGGAAGAAAAGTCACTATAGCATGGCACACTAACCAGTGGGACTCATACCTGCCCAGGGATCTTACATCCTTAGCAATAAAAAAACATGTTAAGTGTGCTAGGAACTCCTGTCAACTATAAAACCTAGTCCTGAAATTCTAATGGTGTCTTATAATTTCAAGCATGTTTATTTAAAGTAAACATTATGTTTTCTCTTATTTCAAAGTGACCTTATTGGTCCCTTCCTTGGTACCAACCCTTGAGACAATAGGTCACAGAAGTGATTTTTTAATCTGTGCCCTCTGCCTGATTGGAATTATGGGGGTCAGGGGTAGAATAGAGGAGCTCCCCACCTCCACCCACCACAACACAATTTATCCCAGGAATAGGCAAACTGAATGAGATTAGGAAATGAAACATTAGGGCATCTGGAAAATTAAGGTAACTAAAATGTATACTCAAATTTATAGCAAAACCAGGACCCCAAAGAGATCTAACAACCTGCTGTATGTGTCTCAGTTTTAATAGATTCTAGAAAATGGCTAGATAGGCTGCTATCTACACCACAATCATGTTACATGAATGGCATCATTAGCAAGATTTAACATTGTTTACAACACTGTGCCTGACACTGGAATCCTGCAGCTGTGCGTAAAGACAAAGAACCAGAATCTAGGGATGAGGAGGAAGCTGAAGGCGGCTCTCCCCACTCTCAGCAGCCAATTGCTGGCATCTCTCCTCAACTTGAAATGGACCACAGTGGGGATACTTGGATCCCGGAAATCGAGAAATACTAATATTAGAGTTTCTCTTTCTCTCTCTTCTTTCTCTATGTTTTGAATGCCAGTTGTTAAATATTTACTAGCCAACCACTGAGTAGAAGTCAGTTTCTTTTTCACATGCTTGACTCACACTAATATTCCTCAGTGTTCTAAAGCTGTGGCTTTCTTATTTCAATTTCACACACAGTACTTGACTGCATCATTCAATCCTGTTAATTCGACTACCATCTGTATGCTGGTGACTCCCAAATCTACATCACAAGATGTGTTTGTGAGCTTAAAACTAATCTTTAAAATATTTTCATTAAACATACAATAGTGACAGCTAATATATTGAGCACTTACTCTCTGCTAGGTGCTATTCTAAAAACTTTACATGTATTAGGGCATTGACACTTGCTGACAAGTGTCATTTTCCCTCCATTTGCAGAGGAGGCAACTGACATACATGGAGGCTCCTCCACGTGCCACTGTGCCAGCGAGGAAGCAGTGACAGCCAGGAAGGCGTCACGGGTTGTACCCTCAGCATCTCAAACTCAGCATCTTACAGACTAAGCTGAACGTCTTCTCTATTCTCCTCATGCCCCAAACATGCTACTTCTTCCTCATTTCAGGTCAGAAATCTGGAAGGCATCATCAATTATTCCTTTTTCTCACATCTCACATCAAACCAGTGACCAAATACTGCTGTCCTCATCTCCTTAACATTTCTCACCTGCCAGCTCTGCCTTCGCCAGCTGTTTTGGCTAAAGTCCTTACCATGTCACACTTACATTACCTCATTCCATTCCAACGGACACTGCTACTTAAACGACTTATGTTATTATTAGGCACTTCTGTCTCTCCTCTTGCCTCTTGTGTGCCTCCCTTCTCACCCACTCTCTATACAGATGGTAGTCTATTCTTCAAAAATCTCATAATACCAATCTCTTACACCACTTCAATGGTTCACCATCAGTTTTCACGCCACTCCTAGCAAGTCTGCCATACCTCACAGCCTCACCCTCACGTGTGCACATTAGGCCCACTGGATGCTGCTTGCAGGGCTGCAGCCATCTCTTCTCTGACGCTGTGCATCCCCCGCACGCTGCTGGCCCTGCCTGGACACACTGCATCCCTCCACAGCTGCCCACCACCAACCGCTACTTCTCTGGCTACTTCTTGCTTCCCTCCTAAGGCTCCTGTGACCCTTCCTGATATCCTCTCCAATCCAGTGTTGGTTAGTTGCCCCTGTGCCGGCTCCAGACCCGTCCCAAGAACACCAGCAGCAGAGTGTGATCACACCACAATTCAATCACCTGCTTATGTGTCCCTATTTTCCATTAGGCTATAATTTCTTAGACGTTAAGTACAAGTTTTATCTTTATATCCCTAGGATAAAACAAATATGTACTCAAAAATGATCACAGAATAAGGACTGAAAATTGGTCTGTGAATCAATGACAATATTTATTCCACTCAGAGAGGTAGTACAGTGCAGTACAGCCAAGCCCAGCATGCATGACTGTGACAATGGCTGTATAAGCTGAGACCCAGAAAAGCCATCTCAATAATCAATGGGAAAATTACAGTCATTCTGTGACTTCTAAAAATTTTTGTTGAAATGTTAAAAACTCACTTACTGTTGGTTATATTAATAAATGAATAGGAACATTTAAAAATAGTAAAACTATTATATATTTAGTACACTATAATTTAAAACATTAGAAACATTAAAATTAGGGTGTTTTATTTCTTTGGAGAAAAACTTCTCTAGAGTATTTGCCTTCTTTTTTTTTTCATAAAATTTACAATATCTATCAAGCATCATTTCTATGCTTTGACAAATTATTGTACTCCTTTCTAAATGTGAATCCCCTTCTGATATTTTATCTTTGCACTTTCGATGTTGTAAAATATGTCTGAGGGTTCCTCTGAGCATCACTTCCTTGGGGACATCCCCATGTCGCTAAGTCCCCTTCACTGAGCTCCCAAGTCGTGAACAGCAGCAGGCTCTGCCTTCCCACCATCGGCTACTTTTTCTGTAATTCCATTTGTGCTGGATTTAAATTTCATGTACAGTGTTATCACTTTCTGGTTTTTGATGCACTTTAATCTTTATGGGCCAATCCTTTCTTTTGATTATCTATTTTTGTAAAACGTCACGTGGGTTCATCACTTGGCAATAAGGGCAGCACAGCTGCACGCTTTGCGGCCCGCATGAGAACTCGTAACAGACGCACAGTGACCAGTTCCTGGTCGACTCTGAAGGAAGGAGCGTGGCTATTCATCCTGCACGTGTGTTATTTCTGTAGTGATGTGCGGAATGAAGAGCTGGTGGGGAAGTTTGTACTTTATGCAGTTAGGCAAATAGACTGTGGTAACTAAAATCCCTGCCTATCCAAACCACACACAGCAAGGACTGCCTGTAGGTCGAAGCACAAGTTTGGAATAAAACTTCTGGACATAATGCCCAGCTCTGCCACTTACTACTTATATGACTTTATGTATGTAGCTCATTTAACCTTCTGGGTTTTATTTTTTTCATCAATAAAATGAAGAGAATAGCAAAGACCTCAAGAGGCTGTTGTGCGGACTAAATATACAGACTATGCAGAGCAACACCTGACCTTTAGGAGATACTGCACAAGTTTTAGCTATTACCGTGTTTCCCCAAAAATAAGACAGGGTCTTATATTGATTTTTCCTCAAGAAGACACCCAAGGGCTTATTTTCAGGGGATGAGTTATTTTTTTAAGTACGGTACAACAATCTACATTTATTCATATATATATATATTCAATATAGTTAAGTTGTCTTCTTCTGGAATATCATCATAACTCTCCAAACCCCAAATTCCATCCCAAATTTCTTACGACTCTATTTCCTTTAGAACCATTGGCCCCAGTCTCTCATGTTGAGCCATAGAGCTCTCATGGGGCAGATAAGAAGGGCTGCTCCTGTTCCTTACCACACCAGGACGAAATGCATGGGTTATGCAGATACGCTGTGTAGCCACGCCCATCACTAGGTCTTATTTTCAGGGTAGGGTTTACTTTGCACAAATGCTTAGAAATCCTGCTAGGGCTTATTTTATGGGTAGGTCTTATTTTCAGGGAAACTCGGTACTACCACAAATACGATGACAAATATTTACAAAGCATTGTCTATACCTGCGCTAATACAGTAGCTACTAGCCACAGAGGGCTGTTTCACTTCAAAGCTAAGTTAATTAAAATTAAATAAAAATTTAAAATTCAGTTCCTCAGCTGTACTAACCACATATGAAGTGCTCAAAAGCTACATTTTCATCACTGCAGAAGTTCTACTGGACAGCGGTGTTCTATACTCATGGAATATATGTGGAATTTGATATAAATAAACTAGTTTCTGGCTTAAAATCAAGAAAGAATCATTAAATTCAAAGGCAAACATGAGAAACGTATGTCAATGAAAATAAAACAATTTCAATAAAAGGTGTCAACATTGATAAACTCCAAATAAAAGGGGCTAATTTTCTTGCAGCCAATACCATCCTTTGGAAACTTAGCTTAAAGGAGAAAGACTGCCTACAATTTTTAAAAACTCTCATTTTAAAAACCTAAAGAAAAACCCATATGAATTAGTATACAATTATACCTACAATAAAAGTATTAGTAATAATTTAAGCAAACTAAACTACATTCATTTTCATTTATTCTTCCCTTCCTTTCCAAAAGAAAGAAACTAAATTTCCAATAGTACTGATTGAATTTTTCCTGATTTTAATTTTCTGTGTTTTTATACCAGTTCTACAGCACTGAAGTCCTGGGTAGCTGTGGAACCCTCATCTGGGCAGGAGGCACTCTTGCGGCACCAGGGCCACGTCTCTTCCAGCTCTGTATCCCAGGCTGGTTCAGCACAAGGTTTTGCACAACTAGTGACAAATGAATGTTTGTCAAGTTGACTTGAATTAGCAAGATCTTTTTCTAAAATAGCAAACATCAACATCATGTGGATAAAGAACGTTTGGAAAAATGAGGGTTGTTATAAAGGAATATATTTAAGTGAAATTTTTACATCACAAAGTCCTGAAGGAAGATCTCATAAAGAACTGAACATTTATGTCAAGCCCAACTTTATCCAAAAAGAGCAAACTTAAAAAATAAGTTAGTATGGGCCAGGCGTGGTGGTTCACGCCTGTAATCCTAGCACTTTAGGAGGCCGAGGCGGGCGGATTGCTCAAGGTCAGCAGTTCGAAACCAGCCTGAGCGAGACCCTGTCTCTACCAAAAATAGAAATAAATTAATTGACCAACTAAAAATATATATACAAAAAATTAGCCGGGCAGTCCCAGCTATTCGGGAGGCTGAGGCAGTAGGATCGCTGAGCCCCGGAGATTGAGGTTGCTGTGAGCCAGGCTGACGCCACGGCACTCACTCTAGCCTGGGCAACAAAGTGAGACTGTGTCTCAAAAAAAAAATAAGTTAGTATGATACATTTCTGGAAAAACTTCATGGTTATAAAGGAATATTAAGTAAAATAATTTTTTTTACGATTTTTAATACCGTAAGTCCCAAGGGGGAGTTCCCAAACTACTCCTCAGAAGAAAAAAAAATTACATTACCATATTATACTAAGCCTAACACATGAAACAGACCTGAGTGTTTTCCAAACCTTAGCAAGTATCTCTTTTACTGGTACAATGATATATTACTATGTCCGCTGTTCGTACAAGTCACCTGTTTAAAGTTACTGAAGCAATCTTGTTTTTTTTGTATAGATATCTTGGTTTGATGACAACTTCTCTAGTGCAAATAACATCCCTGAGTAGAAAATACCATTCTAAGACATTTAAAATGTCTAATGATGCTAATATAGAAATAGCTTCAATAAATTTTAGTTGAACTCAAAATATATTCATTTTAACTATGCTTATATATCTTTAACTATGCTTATAATATCTACATTATATATGCTAATATAGAAATAGCTTCAATAAATTTTAGTTGAACTCAAAATATATTCATTTTAACAAAGTTGGTGACCTGGTTCTCAAAGATAAAAATAAGGCAAAATCTCTCTGCAGAGGACAGGTAAGGCTGAAAAAAAAGAAAAAATAATATTTTTTAAACAGCTAAATATTTTTTAAAAAATAAGGCAAAATCTCAAGGCAAGCAGTAATAACAGTAATGATAATAGAGGAAAATATTTTTAAATGCTGTTAAATTCAGAAATTTAGAATGAAATCCAAGTACTCAAATTCTTCTACCAAGGAAAGCCAACACCAAATTAAAGCTTCTTTCTAGAAAATACTTTCTTATTAAGGATTCTCCAGGTTTTTGAACAGACATTTACATAAAGACTCAAAAAGTTCTGCTCATGAAACTACATTAAGCTAGAAGTGCAAAAATAACTTCCTATCACAGTCCTGCATTCACAGAATCTTTAAAGATCTGATGTGAGTTTTCTTATTTTTTTCAGTTATTTTTAACTCTACTGCAGGATGAAATTATGTTATATTTAAAAACAAGGAGATTCCTATTGGTATTATTGCATCATATCAAACGTTAACTGTATATATGAAAGAGGATAACTTATTTTTAAGTCACTAATAGTATAATAACGATTAAGTCACCTGATGAGTTTCTTCTAAATCAGTAGGATAATTAAGCAGCTAGAATCTCAGATGTCAGAAAAAGGACATAAAGGTGGATGGATCCAAAACTTTCAATATATCAGTTTTTCCTGGGCCTATAATTTTCACAAAATTTCCCAGATTTAGACATACTCTTAAATATCCAGCTGCCTTAAATTCTTTTTGGAAAAAAGCAAGGTATAAACAAATAAATGACACCTAAGTACCTCTTATTCTAATAGCTGAGGTTATTTGCGTTAACACTGGTAGACACTTGACTATGGCTTTTCCAGGTTTTTGGTCAATGCCAATCCTGGCTACTGCCTCAGTGCTTTCCTATCTTTGATGATGCTTTTTATATACTGGTCTGTTTTATGGTAGCAAATTTTATTTCTTAAGAAGTATATTTTGTTTTCAAATTATGATTTCCAATAAATAAAATGCAAACAGAAACAGAATATACATTTCAGTGTTTCTATTCCCTTTAACATTTATTCAGCAGGGATTTAATAATCACTACTGTTTAGAAATAAATACTAAAATCCACTTACTGCTTTGTCCTGTAAAAGGAGGTCCAAGAACTATATTAAAGCTTGTTATAAAGTCCATAAATAGTTTGTGGTAGCAGGACAAAACTTACTGTTCAGAACATTCTCCAGTTTTTGTGTCATGGATCCTTCTACTTTTTCCGTTCCATCCGCTTCTAGTTTTTGATGGATGGCTAGAAAAAAATATCTGGTTAAAATGCAGGCCATTTTAATGGGTGGAGATATATTACATCAAAATGCATTTTTAAACAGCTTTAAAAAAATGGTCATATTATTTTCTCTGCTAGAAAGGAGCACAAATATGCCACACTCTGCAATGTATCCAGCAGACACTAGCCTAAGTTATTCATAGTTTAACACTATTAAAATAGTCCATAATACACATATTCTATCATCTGAACCTCAAGACTGATTGGTAAAGACAGTAGAATTAAAAAAGAAAAGCAATACTTAGGTCTTATTACTACAATACCTAGGTCTTATTACTACAGGTTGAGCATCCCCAAACCAAAAATCCAAAATATGAAATGCTCCAGGTCCCAAGCATTTCAGATAAGGGATACTAAACCTGTACTATCTTTGATATTTGGCCATAGGAAATTCACTCTTATTCTTCAGTTTCACCATTTGGAAAATAGGAATACTACTATTTGGAGTTTGCCAACCTCAAAACATTTCATTTCAGCCTTAAAATATAACACAGGAAAATATATATTATTAATGTTCTATTCATTCTATTAAAACAATATTTCTCTGGGGGTTCCCAAGAAACACCTAGCAACATCTACCAATACATTAATTGTGGATGTACAAACTGCATTGGAGTTTTTTGCTGTTACTGATTTATGTCTGTCTGATCTGATAAAGATTATGAGGAAATCATTTAGTAATTTATATCTAAAAACTGTTTTACCTACTGAAGAGAACAGAGTAAATCAGGGTTATTTAGGTGAAGAACTAAGAAAAGTTTTAAAACAAAATGATCAAATACAATTTCAAATTCAAAAGTGTAATATAAAAAATAAAAAAATAACAAGGTAAACATTAATTGAGCAATGAACACAAAAGCTAAGCTAAGTCTCTTATATAGGTATTTGTCATCTTTTAAAGAAGCCAGCGATGTAGCTAGCTTCCAACATTATTTCTAGTTTACAGATGGGAAAAACATGAAATTAAAACATGTTGTCCAAGGTCACAAAGCCAAACTCAAAATGTGCACTGGAACAGTCTGATCCCAGACCTCATCCCACACTCCCTATATAGTAAGGACAAGCAACTTCCACTGTCTAAGCTTCTGTTTTCACATCTATAAAATGAGAATAATACACTTATTATGTCAATTGGGAAATGCATTCAGTTGAAAATAAAAGGCTTCTCTTCCCCAAAATAAAAGCTGTGAAAACACCCACGATTTTTAATTTTTCATATAACTTGTTTTAGCGAAACCCAAATGCAGGATGTTTAACTCTATGGCCTTCACAACTAGTACACTGAAATGAATATCACCCTTATGTAATAGCTATTCTCTAACATTCAAATACTGAGTTAGAACAATTCCAAAAGGAACTATGAGTTCTGCTTAACCCACCAGTCACAGGTGGCAGATTTATGCCAAAACAAACAAACAAACAAAAAGACATGTATTTATTTTACTCAGAACTATGTATGTAGTTCAATGTATTTCCCTTGACTCATTGTCAGAAAACTCTAAGACAAATTCGCTGCTCAAATGTACTATGAAAACATTCTCATGCCCAATAACACCTATTTTTCTGCTCCTTTTAGTTTTTAATTCTGAGCTTGTTCTTTTTTATCCTTTATTTTGTAAAGCCACCTCAAATTTTGTTTGAAATTATAAAATAAACAGACTGCTCCTCTGTGAAGAAACACATTCATAGAAAGAAAAAGAAATATATTTGGAAAAAATCAGCCACTACATTTTTAATTGTCTTGGTTGATTCAGAGTGAAGAGAAAGTAATTTTTTTAATGTCTCAAATTTAGATTATGGGGTAACAATCACATAAAATGTCTCCACATATCAAAACTTAAACTTAAGTTCAACTTGTTAAAGTTAAATGGAAAAGAATTTCCTGCCCTCTCTTTTAAGGATAGGGGACAGACTATGCCTAAGTATTAAAAAGCTAAACTAGAAAGACTTGCCTGTTGTGTACAAGCAAATCTGCTCACAGTCTTTATTTAAATGCTGCTGTGACTTTGTGACAATCCTGGTTACAAAGGAGCACTTGGCACATGTTGCAGTTTTACTGTGAGGGCGCTATGAGTGGTTGTCCAGGCATAGCCCCTGCAGTAGCCCTGCCTCAAATGTTACTTTCTAAGCCAAAGTCAGCGTTAAAGGAAGTCATGTAGCCATGTTTACTGATGCTGACAAAACCCATCACTGATCAGCAGGTCAAGATGAGGTGATCCTGGTCCCCGCACCCCCCCCCCAGCTCAGTTTACAGTACTTTCTGCTGACAAGGCAACTCCTTCCCGCCCATCTCCACCACAGCAGAGCCACTGTCAAGCTGTCAGCCGAGCATGAGGACCCAGAGACACTGGGATCTGATAAAGGCAATACTATTTTCCAGGAAATTAAACCAAATAACTCAATGTCTGGTTCACTTGACCTTTTATTGTCTCTGAAAACATTTTTAAGTAGAATAACTCAATAAGCAAGTTGGTACATGATCACAGGTTTGTTATTGTTTCTAATCTATTAAAACTTAAATATGTGAAGCAGCTGAACAACATAAGTTTTTGTATGGGAAACAAAACAGTATGTATAAAAGTACTATTCAAAGAAAACTCAGAGTTATAGAAAGATTGCCTATAATTATGTGATTCTTTTATTTAACTCTCCAATAAAATGTGGAAGTCAAATTTGCAATTTCAATAAAAGAATCATAATACCTGCCCATACATTTATATAAATGCTATTATTAAGGCATTAAGAAATTATGTGTATGCACAGACAGGATCCAGGATCCACATACAAACTGATGTACATGCTCTAATGCGCTCTAATGTATGTTAATGTTGGCCTGCGTGAGATAGGAAGAATATTCAAGCCAGATCAGGGACTGGCAAACTATTTCTAGAAAGAGCCAGACAATAAATATTTCAGGTTTTGTAGCCACATACACCCTCTATCACATATTCTTCTTCTATCTTTTAAACAACCTTTGAAAAACAAACCCATGGCCTGTATAAAGATTAGCCTAATTTGGTTCCCATGCCAACTCTGAGGATTATGCTTACTAAAGTAGGAGATTAAGGCCGGGCATGGTGGCTCATGCCTGTAATCCTAGCACTCTGGGAAGCCAAAGCAGGTGGATCCCTCAAGGTCAGGAGTTTGAAACCAGCCTGAGCAAGTGCGAGACCCTGTCTCTACCAAAAAATAGAAAGAAATTAATTGGCCAACTAAAAAATATATAGAAAAAAAATTATCTGGGCATGGTGGCACATGCCTATAGTCCCAGCTACTCGGGAGGCTGAGGCAGAAGGATTGCTTGAGCTCAGGAGTTTGAGGTTGCTGTGAGCTAGGTTGACGCCACGGCACTCTAAGCCCAGGCAACAGAGTGAGACTCTGCCTCAAAAAAAAAAAAAAAACCAAGCAGGAGATTAAGAAGAGTATTATTAAGGGTAAGATGAATAAATAATTTAAATTTATAAAGAGGCTTTCAAACATTTAGTTTCTACTTATTCTATCAAACTTTTGTCAGAGTAGATAAATCACATATTTGAATTGGTTAAGTAATCTGTGATTCCTTTCTTTCTCTAGTTATAATAAAGAAAAGCAATAAATAATAAAACAATGGCAACTATTACACAGAAGACTAACAGGTAAAAACAATTCCCACTTAGATAATCATCCTAGGAAACACTATCTTCATACATCAACAGTCACTAAACCAAATGTGTCAAAACAATCAACCATGGCCCACGTGGTGCAGAATGGCAGCGATAAAAGGAATGCGGGAGGAAGCACCGACAGAGCAGTGAGCAACATGTGTGGCTTCCACTGCGGTGGCCTTTTCCTCCGGAGTGCCATAAAGAATGTGCATTTGCACAGTATGGGCCACAGCTGTTCTTGGAAGGAGCAAGTGATAATGTCCGACTTGCCACTAAAAGCAAGCGCCTATACAGGTTCCGAGCACACGAGCTCAGGGGCACTCCGGGGCTGGCGCAGGCCCGGTGGAGGGAGGGCTCAGAGGCGCCAAGGCCAGGGGAAGGCATGTCCCGCGGGAGGGACAGCGACCAGCAGGGCAGCGACCTGAGGACTCAGGCGCCCTGCCAACGAGGGGGCGGGATGACAGTGACCGCGGAGGGGCAGAGCGCGGGCTGGGGCGCTTCCACCGGTGCACCACCAGTAAGGGAAGCTGAGTCAGCACCCGGGGTGGCACCGGCCACGCCACCGCACACGCTTCTCGCTCAGTTCTGACTCAGACACTCGCGGGCGCGCACAGGCAAGGTCGAAACCGACAATGGCACCGCAACTTGAAGGAAAATAACGGCTACTCAGAGCGCACTGCCTGGATACACACTGCAAGAGAACACACACTGCGTGAGAACACACAGCAGCGCGGCCACGCCTCTGCCTCGCGCGGCCTCCCCTGCGCCGGGCGCCGCAACTCCCACGGCGCGGGCTGGACACGCCTCCGTCTCCGCGTGGCCGCTCCACCACTGCCCCTGTCCCTCACCTCCCAAGCTCCCTTCCTCGTACAGCCTCGTAGAGACCGCTCTCCCGCACCTCTCACTTCCCACAGCTGCGGGGAGACCGCTCTCCCACACCTCTCACCTCCGACAGCCGCGTGGAGACCGCTCTCCCACACCTCTCACCTCCAACAGCCGCGAGGAGACCGCTCTCCCACACCTCTCACCTCCGACAGCCGCGTGGAGACCACTCTCCCACACCTCTCACCTCCGACAGCCGCGCGGAGACCGCTCTCCCACACCTCTCACCTCCCACAGCCGCGTGGAGACCGCTCTCCCACACCTCCCACAGCCGCGTGGAGACCGCTCTCCCACACCTCTCACCTCCGACAGCCGCGAGGAGACCGCTCTCCCACACCTCTCACCTCCCACAGCCGCGTGGAGACCGCTCTCCCACACCTCTCACCTCCCACAGCCGTGCGGAGACCGCTCTCCCACACCTCTCACCTCCGACAGCCG